TCCTTCCTTCCTTCCTTCCTTCCTTCCTTCCTCTCTCTCTCTCTCTCTCTCTCTCTCTCCCTCTCTCTGTGCCTATTATGTGGCCAGTGTACAGACTTACATCTTATCCCCTCCATCCTGTATGCTGCTGTGTCTCTCCATTCATTAGCCCTGCCTGTCTTCTTTTTGTCCTCGTTAGCTTATATTGTCTGATGGGATCCTTGCCTTGCTTCCACCCTGCAGAAGATGCACCAGTTCGTGGGTGACCTCCGGAAGGCATCCGAGTTGCTTCAAAGCACCATCCAGGAGCTGGAGAAGAGGGACCCGCTGAGGACTCTGCAGGTAACCCCTGAAGTAAACGGCCGAGACCCAGAAATGCCTCGCTGGCTTTTGTCTGCCCTTGTCGCAGCGGGGTGCTTGGAAGCCGGAGAAGAGTTCCCTCCCATCTGGAGGCATGAAACGGCTCCGGTCCATTACAGGACTCTCCCTTAATCGTATCGACATCTCGCTCAGCATCGAAGTGCTTTAAATGAGAGCCATTATGTTCGGATTGGCTAGGGGAGCAAGGACGGCAGCCCCGTCTCTTCCTACTGCCGAGCAATTTGGACTGGGAGGCGGGTGGCCACTGTGTCTCGGGAGCTGCTAATGGACTCTCCGTGCCCTTTCCTGATGGCCCAGCGCATGGGCAGGGAATAATCGACTCCTCGTAGCCTTGTGCCCAGGGGCTGCGGTGGCTCAAGCGGTTAAGACGCTGAACTCCAGACCGGAAGGTCTTGTAGTTTGGCAGTTCGAGACCCGAGAGTGCCGCGGAGTGAGCTCCCGCCTCTGGCCCCAGCTCCTGCCAACCTAGCCGTTCGAAAGCAAGACATTGCAAGTAGATAAATAGGTGCCGCTTCGGTGAGGAGGTTAACAGCGTTCCGTGCGCCTCGGCGTCTAGTCATGCCGGCCACATGACCACGGAAATGTCTTCGGACAGTGCTGGCTCTTCGGCTTGGAAACGGAGATGAGCGCCGCACCCATAGAGTCGGATTCAACTGGCTTTCGAGCAAGGGAAACCTTTACCCTTTACCTAACCTTGTTAAAGCAAACCAAATGCAAGGGAAGTCCTCTTCGAATCTGTCGGAGCAAGAAAGCTGAGGATGTCAGCTTGGATATAAGCCTGGGGGTGGGGGTGGGGAATCTTTCCTGCCCCCCAGCACCAAGAATACAGAGCACCCCTTGCCCCAGATGTAGTGCTCCCTCCATACCTTGTGGCTCATAGCCACGGACGGGCCTCTGCTCCAGATGTTTCTCCAATCCCCTCGTGAAGCCGTCCATGCTTGTAGCTGCCACCACTTCCCACAGCAGTGAATTCCACGGGTTAATGACACTTTGGGTGAAGAAGGACTTCCTTCGATCTGTTCTAACCCAACTGCTCATTAGTTTCATGGAGTGCCCACGAGGAGTTCTCGTATTGTGAGAAAGGGACAGAAGGATTTCTTTCTCTGCCTGCTCTATCCCATGCATAATTTGGCAAACCTCGAGCACGTCACCCCCTCAGCCATCGTTTCTCCAAGCGAGAGAACCCTAGCCTCTGATTCGAGAATACTGACCTTGAGGGACCAAAGGTCTGATGCTGTGTAGGGTAGGTTCACATGAAGGTCCATTTAACTGTCATGGCTTAATGTCATTGATAGACCTCCGGGAAGGTGGAATGGGTGGAGATTACAATGGAGTCGGTACCAGCTAAATATCAGGAGAAACTTCCTGACTGTGAGGGTGGTTGAGCAGTGGAACAGTCTGCCTTGGGAGGGGGTGGATGCTCCTTGGCTGGACGTTTCCAAGCGAAGGCTGTGCGACCCTCTTCCGGGTATGCTGTAGGACTATCTTTCGGCTCTGCTCCTGCAAAGCGCAGGGGGTTGGACTAGATGACCTGCAAGGTCCCTTCGAACTCTAACATTCTGTGATTCTACGATTTTATGACAAGCTCGAGCATGTCCAGAAGAGGGCAACCAGGGTGGTGAAAGGGTTGGAATCCAAGTCTTACGAGGAAAGGCTGAAAGAGTTGGGTCTGTTTAGCCTGGGAAAGAGAAGGCTTAGAGGTATCTGAAGGGCTGTCATGTGGAAGATGGAGCGGATCTATTCTCTCTTGCTCCGGATTGCAAGACTAGAGATCTAATGGGTGGGAATTACAAGGAAGTCGATACCGGCTAAATATCAGGAGAAACTTCCTAACTGTCAGAGTGGCTGAGCAGTGGAACAGTCTGCCTGGGGAGGTGGTGGAGGCTCCTTTGCTGGACGTTTCCAAGCAGAGGCTGGATGACCCTCTTCCGGGTATGTTGTAGGTATGTTTTAGGGCTCTCTTTTGGCTCTGTGCCTGCAGAGTGCAGGGGGTTGGACTAGATGACCTCTAAGGTCCCTTGCAATGTTCCCTCTAAGCTGTGGAGTCTTGTGAGCAAAAATCCTACTTTGTGAGCTCCTGGCATTAAACTTGTGAGTGAGCGATCTGGCTACTGCATCAATTAGTTGGCTCTGGAGTCAGAGGATAAAAAGCTGTGAGCTAGCTCACGCTAACTCAGCTTAGAGGGAACACTGGTCCCTTCCAACTCTAACGTTCTATGATTCTATGAAGGTGATTCGCTGCTTCTCTGTCCTCGCAGGACGTTGTGCAGGAAACGGAGCGGCACCAGCAGCTGATGCAGGGAGTCCTGTCCAACGGTCAGCTGCTGAGCCTGCAGCGAGAAGGCGGGGCCACGCTGGCCAGGCTGAGAAAGGAGGCGGCCCGACTCAGCTTCTCCCCGGATGCCAGGTACGAGGCAGCAAGGCCTGGGTTCAGGACTCACCCTGGGGCCGGTGGGAAGCCAGAGAGGCAGTGTGGAGTGGGGGCTGGAGCATCGACTGGGATTTGGGAGAACCGGGTTCAAACCCCCCACTTGGCGTGGCAGCTCGCAGGGCGACCCCGAGCCAGTCGCACCCTCTCTGCCTCGCCTCCCTCACAGGGTTGTTGTGAGGATAAAATGGAGGAGAGGAGAAGGACGCGAGCCACGTCGGGTCCCCATTGGGGAGGATGGTAGCGTATAAATAAACAGAAATGAAAATAAGAACCCTCTCTTGGATGCCACCCGCCCTGTCGGACCACTGGCCCACGATGATCAGTGGTGGCCTTCGGGGTCTCAAGCAGTACGTGGGTTTCCTTGTCCTGCTGCGTGAGATGTGAGAGAGGAGAAGAAAAAGAGATTGGAAGTATACCCCATGGCCCTTCACTACCTAAAGGTGTCTCCGAGCGGCTTACAATCACCTTCCCCTCCCCACAACAGACACCCTGGGAGGTGGGTGGGGCTGAGAGAGCTCTTGACAGAAACGGCTCTTTTTCAAGAACAGCTCTTATTGGAACTACGGCTTGCCCAAGGTCATCCAGCAGGTGCAAGTGGAGGAGGAGTGGGGAATCAAACCCGGTTTCCCAGATTAGAGTCTGCGCACTGAAGAAGAAGAAGAGATTGGATTTATACCCCATGGCCCTTCACTACCCAAAGGTGTCTCAGAGCGGCTTGCAAACCCCTTTCCCTTCCCCTCCCCACAACAGGCACCCTGCGAGGTCGGTGGGGCTGAGAGAGCTCTGACAGAAACTGCTCTTTTTCAAGAACAGCTCTTATCAGAACGATGGCTTGCCCGAGGTCATCCAGGAGGTGCAAGTGGAGGAGTGGGGAATCAAACCCGGTTCTCCTAGATTAGAGTTCGCGCACTGAAGAAGAAGAAGAGATTGGATTTATCCCCCGCCCTTCACTACCCAAAGGTGTCTCAGAGCGGCTGACAAACTCCTTTCCCTTCCCCTCCCCACAACAGACACCCTGTGAGGTTGGTGGGGCTGAGAGAGCTCTGGCAGAAACTGCTCTTTTTCAAGGACAGCTCTTATCAGAGCTACGGCTTGCCCAAGGTCATCCAGCAGGTGCAAGCGGAGACGGAGTGGGGAATCAAACCCGGTTCTCCCAGATTAGAGTCTGCGCACTTAAGCCACTACACCAAACTGGCACCAAACAGGGCACCTTTAGGCAAACCAGTGACATGCCGTTCTGTTTTGTTCTCCCTTTCGTCACCTCTCTTTGGCAAGGAGCAGCATTGAGTGTGCGCTGAGCCTCTACAACCTGGTGGAGGAACAAGTGCACACTCTGGTGACCAGATCCAATGGCCGCTTGGAGCACCTGCAGTTCCTGCGGAAGATCCGAGAGCTGGAGGCCGAGTTCCGCAAGGTCAGTGAGCCCTCCAGGAGGTACCCACGTGGCCTTGGAGGCTGGTCTGGCACCCGCCCCACTTGCCTGTGGGGGTCCTTCCCTCAAATGCTCGACTCCTGACGTTTTGCAAAGTGTATCAGATGACCTTTCAGTTTGGAGCTTGAGTCCAATCCATCAAGGTCAGTCTTGTCTACTCAGTGGACCTCCAGGGTCTCGGCAAAGGTCTTTCACATCTCCTCCTGCCCGGTCCTTGTAACTGGAGATGCTGGGGATTATTGAACCTGGGACCTTCTGCATGACAGGCAGAGGCTCTTCCACTGAGCCACAGCCCCTTCCCATAGCTCTCCAGGGTCTCAGGCGGAGGTCTTTCCCACATGCCAGGCAGAGGTCCTTTTAACTGGAGACAGCCCCTTCCCATAGCTCTCCAGGGTCTCAGGCGGAGGTCTTTCCCATCACCTACAGCCTGGTCCTTTTAACTGGAGACAGCCCCTTCCCATAGCTCTCCAGGGTCTCAGGCGGAGGTCTTTCCCATCACCTCCTGCCTGGTCCTTTTAGCTGGAGATGCCGGGGATTGAACCTGGGACCTTCTGCATGCCAGGCAGAGGCTCTTCCACTGAGCCACAGCCCCTTCCCATAGCTCTCCAGGGTCTCAGGCGGAGGTCTTTCCCATCACCTCCTGCCTGGTCCTTTTAGCTGGAGATGCCGGGGATTGAACCTGGGACCTTCTGCATGCCAGGCAGAGGCTCTTCCACTGAGCCACAGCCCCTTCCCATAGCTCTCCAGGGTCTCAGGCGGAGGTCTTTCCCATCACCTCCTGCCTGGTCCTTTTAGCTGGAGATGCTGGGGATTGAACCTGGGACCTTCTGCATGCCAGGCAGAAGCTCTTCCACTGAGCCACAGCCCCTTCCCATAGCTCTCCAGGGTCTCAGGCAGAGGTCTTTCCCATCACCTACTGCCTGGTCCTTTTAGCTGCAGGTGACGGGGATTGAACCTGGGACCTTCTGCATGCCAGGCAGAGGCTCTTCCACTGAGCCACAGCCCCTTCCCATAGCTCTCCAGGGTCTCAGGCGGAGGTCTTTCCCATCACCTCCTGCCTGGTCCTTTTAGCTGGAGATGCTGGGGATTGAACCTGGGACCTTCTGCATGCCAGGCAGAGGCTCTTCCACTGAGCCACAGCCCCTTCCCATAGCTCTCCAGGGTCTCAGGCAGAGGTCTTTCCCATCACCTACAGCCTGGTCCTTTTAGCTGGAGATGCAGGGGATTGAACCTGGGACCTTCTGCATGCCAGCTTGGTGCTCTTCTACTGAGCCACGGTCTCGGTTGTTGAGACGGTTTTTCCTTTGCCCGCAACAGCAGAGCTACTCCTGCTGCCGAGCAGAAATGTGGCTAATGCTCATTCAATGATCGAGCTGAACCCGACGACTGAAAACCAATTAGGGAAGAATTTCCCCGAACCTTCGTTCTCAAAACCTGCAGCGCTTGTCTGTTAATTTTAAAGGGATCAGCGTAGCATGAAATAGGATTTAATTTTCATTTTGTTTACCGGGTGTCATACAGCCTTTTTATGAAATCTGCGACCAGGATTTTTAGGAACGGCTCATTTACCGCCGGTTGCTTAATTTTGATACGTTTTGCCACCTTGATTTAGATCCACTTAAAGTGCCATTTTTTTAAGAAGGTGAATTAAAGTGAATGAGTGAAACTAATGGCAGCGACACAAACAGGACTTGAAATTAATTAAAGAATCGGAGGCTCTGTGCGTGCACGACACGAGGTGCAGATGGATTCCCCAGGTGTTGCGACTTTGCGTGTAATTCCGTGACGGTGTAATGCCGTGACCGGATTTTCCAAGATTTTTCCAGTCTGAAAAGCTGTCAGGGGAGGGATTGGGGCCACAGTCTTGGGAACTTGGCCTCCTTCTGCCTTCCTGGCCCGAAATGCCCATCTGCTGAGCTAGGGAACATGTCCACAGGAGGGCAGCAAAGATGGTGAGGGGTCTGGAGACCAAGTCCTAGGAGGAAAGGTTGAAGGAGCTGGGTCTGTTTAGCCTGGAGAGGAGACGACTGAGAGGTGATAGGACAACCATCTTCAAGTACGTGAAGGGCTGTCTCATATAGAGGATGGGGCGGAGTTGTTTTCTGTCGCCCCAGAAGGTCAGACCAGAACCAACGGGTTGAAATTAAATCAGAAGAGTTTCTGGCTAAACATCAGGAAAAACGTCCTGACCATTAGAGCGTTTCCTCAGTGGAATAGGCTTCCTCGGGAGGTGGTGGGCTCTCTTTCTTTGGAGGTTTTCAAGCAGAGGCTGGATGGCCATCTGACAGCAATTTTATTTATTTATTTATTGCATTTTTACCCCGCCCTCCCCGCGAACGGGCTCAGGGCGGCTTACACAGGGGCACAAGCCCATACATAAAAACAATGTAAAACAGTAAAAACTATTAAATCACGACAAAACAAATAAAGTGCTCCATACAAACAAGATGGTATCGGATCATTTCCTTAGGGTGAAATTGTCCTGTCGATGGTCCAAGCCAGTCCAGCAGCATCAGTGCCATGCAAATTTATGGCCGTTCTTCCGGGGAACGCTCCCAACCCCGTTGTTTCAGTGGTGGTAGTAGTAGAAGTGGCAGCCCCTATATAAAAGCCTGGTGGAAGAGCTCCGTCTCGCAGGCCCTGGGGAACTGCATCAGGTCCCGCAGGGCCGGATCTCCTCCGGGAGCTCGTTCCACCAGGTGGGGGCCGGATCCTGTGGACTTAGGCAGATCATGAGAGGGCGGGCAGGGAGGGTTGCCTCAGTGCTTACGTCTCGTGGTCCTTTCTTACACGCCCAGGGAAATGCTGATCGCCACTTTGGGGTCAGGAAGGGATTATCCTCCAGGCCAGACTGGCTCAGGGAACCTGGAGGTTTTCTTGCCTTCCTCTGGGCATGGAGCAGGGGTCACTGGTGGAGTGCAGAGGGAAGCTGTGAATTTCCTGCATTGTGCAGGGGTTTAGTTTAGATGACTCTTGGGGGGCCCCTTCCAGCTCCAGGTTTCCATTTTTAAAAGTGGCAGACACAGTGCAGACACCCGAATCTTTTCCCAGCTGGGTCTAGAAGTATCCTGGGAGGTCTTTTTCAATCAAAGAAATGGAGCGAGGGGAAGAATTAGATGCTTGTTCCCCCGTCGGGCAGCCCTGGATGCAAGTCCTCCACAGCGCCAACCGTTCTGAACCGAATTCAGAACAGTGGGTCAAACTGGGGGGGTGGAGCACTCACCCGCCTGAGATTCAGGAATGGATCTTCACCTCATTTTGTTTATTCATTCACAGAATCCATATCCCACCTTTCTGCTCTTCCAAGGATAGAGAGGTGAAGGCCTGGAAAAAAACCCGGAAAAATGGGGGGGGGACATTTCCCCCTCGTTTTTTTCCTGAAGCCTTTTTTGTTTTTTCCCCAAAAAATTGGAAAAATTGAAAAAAAGAAAAAAGAAAGAAATTGATTATGGAACGTTTCATTTTAACACGATGAATAAAATATTTGAAGACCAGGTGTTCAAATATTGTCCAAATCATTTCTAAAAAAATATGTACGATATCAGATTGATCTAATTTCTGTGCCCTGAAGACAAGCAAGTCCTAGGTTACCAACTGAACTCTCCAATGCAAGAACAAGATGCAGTTCTTCCTTTTGGAGGTGCTATTGTCACAAGAAAAGAAAAAAGTTTCAGTTTTGTTTTTGCGTGTGGGTGGGTATTCTGTTTGTAATAATTGTTTGGCTACACTATATTTTTAATATGCTAGTTGTGATAATTTCATGCCAAGTAAAAATGTCTATAGTCATATTTTATGTTCCTAAAGTAACAGAATGACTTTCAATCTGGAAAAGAAAAAAGAAGTGCTAATGTATCATTTTTTTCAATTTTTCCGAAAATTTCCATTTTCCCCCAGGGGAAAACGGTTTTTTCCCCAAACTTCAAAATTCCCGGAAATTTTACATCTCTATCCAAGGACCACTGAGGCAGCTAACAATTTAGAATCCTAGAATCACAGAGTTGGAAGGCGTCCCAGAGGCCATCTAGTCCACCCGCCTGCTCAATGCAGGATCAGCCTAGAGCATCCCTGACAAGTGTTGGTCCAACCGCTGCTTAGAGACTGCTAGTGATAAAACATACATGATAAAATCACATTTTAAAATCGTTGGAATCATGCCCCACACCCCACATCATTAAAATGATTTAAAAATGCAGAGTTAAAATACGTGCAAAGACATCAAAACAGCAATTAAAACATTGGTCAGGAAGGAGGGATCGTTGAGGGAATGCTGAACGCTGGTGGAAGGCGGCAACAGGAGGGGGCAGGTGAATCTCCCTGGGGAGAATGTTCCAGAGTTTGGTGCCACGGCTGAGAAGGCCCTGTTCTGGGTGCCCTGCTGCCTAATCTCGGCATGCTGAGGGCACCCAAAGCAGGATATGACTGCAGTGGTCAGGCATGTTCATAAAGTCCTTCAGGTATGTCGGACCCCGACTATATGGGGGTCAAGACCAGGACCTTGATTTCTGTCTGGAGACAAACTGGGAGCCAGTATAGATGTGCTGAGCCTGGAGTGTTAAGGTCCCTATGACCCACTCTGGTCAACACCATGGGATGGGATGGGATGCTCATGAGCACACACTCCCGATGGAGAAACCATGACCGGTACCAGAGCTTTGAATGTTGTTCAGTCGCACAGTCGAGTCCGACTCTTCGCGACCCCATGGACCAGATCACGCTAGGCCCTCCTGTCCTCCGGAGTTTGCTTAATTTCATGTTTGTTGCATCGGTGACACTGCCTAACCATCTCGTCCTTTGCCGTCCCCGTCTTCTTTGACCTTCAGTCTTTCCCAGCATCAGGGTCTTCTCCAGGGAGTGCTCCCTTCTTCTCATTGGGTGGCCAAAGTATTTGAGCTTCAGCTTCAGTCTATGGCCTTCCAGGGAACCGTCAGGGTTGATTTCTTTTAGGACTGACTAAATAGCTGGTTGGTTTTGGTCAGGAATTTGCAACCTGAGTTATAAACCCGCTGTGGTTCCTGAATGTGTAACCGATGCTAGAATCCGGATTCCAGTTTAAGAATAAAACTGAAAATGTGGGTCTTTGGCCAGGCCGATGCTGCTGGTTCCAGCGCAAACATGGCTGCCATTCTCCAGGGGGGGCCTGGAGATCTCCCACAATCACAGCTGATCTCCCGACTACAGCGACTGCTTATTTATTTATTTATTTAAAAGATCTCTTCCACCTCTCCTGGAGAAAATGGCTGGTTTGGAGGGTGGACTGTACGGCATTGTACCCCACTGTGGTCCGTCCCCTCCCTAAACCCAACCCTCCCCCAGGACCAGGAGGGGCCCCTTAACCTTATGACAGCACAGCTGACACCCCCCTCACATCTGCAGGTTTTTCCCCAATCCAGAGGTGGCAACCAATGCTCCCTCTAAGCTGTGGAGTCCTGTGAGCAAAAATGCTACTTGGTGAGCTACTTGGCATTAAGGTTGTGAGCAAGCGATTGGGCTGCTGCGTAAATCAGTTTGCTCTGGAGCTCCATCCTTCCTGAGTGAAGACAAAAATGTGTGAGGCAGAGGCTTAAAAAACTGTGAGCTAGCTCACAGTCACTCAGCTTAGAGGGAACACTGGCGCCAATGCTTCCTCTAAGCTGTGGAGTCCCGTGAGCAAAAATTCTACTTTGTGAGCTATACCACAGGAAGTGGTGGCGGCTACAAGCATGGACGGCTTCAAAGGGGAATTAGATAAGCATATGGAGCAGAGGTCCATCAGTGGCTATTAGCCACAAGGTATAGCTAGGGGCTCTGGGGCAAGTGATGCTCTGTCTTCTTGGTGCTTCGGGGGGGGTCAACAGTGGGAGGGCTTCTAATGTCCTGGCCCCACTGCTGAATAGGTTTGCTCTGGAGCTCCATCCTCCCTGAGCCAAGACAAAAATGTGTGAGGTGGAGGCTTAAAAAACTGTGAGCTAGCTCACACTAACTCAGCTTAGAAGGAACACTGGCGCCAATGCTCCCTCTAAGCTGTGGAGTCCTGTGAGCAAAAACGCTACTTTGTGAGCTACTTGGCATTAAGGTTGTGAGCAAGCGATTGGGCTGCTGTGTAAATCGGTTTGCTCTGGAGCTCCATCCTCCCTGAGCCAAGACAAAAATGTGTGAGGTGGAGGCTTAAAAAACTGTGAGCTAGCTCACACTAACTCAGCTTAAAGGGAACACTGGCGCCAATGCTCCCTCTAAGCTGTGGAGTCCTGTGAGCAAAAATGCTACTTTGTGAGCTACTTGGCATTGTGAGCGAGCGATTTGGCTGCTGCGTAAATCAGTTTGTTCTGGAGCCCCATCCTTCCTGAGCCGAGACAAAAATGTGTGAGCTGGAGGTTAGCTCACACTAACTCAGCTTAGAGGGAACACTGGCGCCAATGCTCCCTCTAAGCTGTGGAGTCCTGTGAGCAAAAATGCTACTTTGTGAGCTACTTGGCATTAAGGTTGTGAGCGAGCGATTTGGCTGCTGCGTAAATCAGTTTGCTCTGGAGCTCCATCTTTCCTGAGCCGAGACAAAAATGTGTGAGGCGGAGCCTTAAAAAACTGCGAGCTAGCTCACACTAACTCAGCTTAGAGGGAACACTGGCAGCTCTAAACCCAGACAGCTTTCCCTCCCCACAAATTCCATCAATTAATTTCAACCAGACTCTCATTTCTAACCTGGTTACTGTTCCAGGTGGCGGGAGGCAGGGATGTATATCTTTGGGAATTGGTGACTTTAGTCAACCCCTAGGGCTGAAGGGGGCGAAGAAAGTGCTCCTGGGTGGAAGAGCTTTGATCCCTGTGGAACCCCAGCGTCTCCGTGTGCTTCTGTACGCAGCTCAGTTTGTGGATGGAGGAAGAAGGGGAGCTGGAGTTCCTGGAGGCGGATTCTGCCGAGGCCGGCCAGGAGGGCGCTGAAGAGTCTTATCGGAGGTTTAAGGAATTCTTCAAAGAAGCCACTGTAAGTTTGAACTGGGAGAAAAAGACAGAGACTCCGGGGAATGTCCGCTGGAACAGAACTGCACCTCAAGGAATTGTGGGGAATTTGGTCCAAATTTGCATCTGATCTATCCAGGGCTTTTTTTGTAGAAAAAGCCCAGCAGGGACTCATTAGCATAATAGGCCACACCCAAGAGCAGAAACCCATTAGCCTATTAGGCCACACCCCTGACAGCACCGCTCATTAGCATATTAGGCCACACCCCCATGTTACCAGAAGTCTGGTCATCCAGCCACACCCACCTTTTGCTTCTCATTCTGTTTACCTGGTTTGTTGTCAAAACCTAGTCTCATTAGTAGGAGATCTGAGACTGTAATGTTAAAGATTAGGTAAAGGTAAAGGTTTCCCTTGCTCGAAAGCCAGTCGAATCCGACTGTAGGGGGTGCGGTGCTCATCTCCGTATCCAAGCCAAAGAGCCAGCGCTGTCCAGAGACATTTCCGTGGTCATGTGGCTGGCATGACTAGACGCCGAGGCGCACAGAATGCTGTTACGTTCCAGCCGAAACGGCACCTATTTATCTACTTGCAATTTCTTGCTTTCGAACTGCTAGGTTGGCAGGAGCTGGGACAAGAGACCGGAGCTCACTACGTCCGGCGGCACTCAGGTCTCGAACTGCTGAACTACCGACCTTCTGGTCTGCAGTTCAGCGTCTTAACCACTTGAGCCACCGCAGCCCCTATGTTAAAGATCCGTTTACCAAAGTTAAACTTTGCCTTCCCACCTTTCTAAAACCTCTGAATTGAAATGTATCCCTGGTAGCTGTAAAAAATGGATTAGGGACATTCCCAATATTGGGAAAAGTCTTCAACATTTACTTCAGCTCTTCTGCGACCATCTGTCCCCTACTCCTCTGTCTTCCCACATTTGCTTCCACCAACGCTTATTCCACTTTCTCTCCCCTGCAACACATACTGGCTGTGGTCACACACACTAAATAATCCACTTTCAATCCACTTTTCACTGGATTTTGCCAGTTCACACAGCTGCTGCAAGCTGCCGCGTTTCGAATAATTCTCTTTCGAAGCCGAAAAGCTATAGTGGGACCCAATCTGAGTAGTAACACATACAGACATCAGTTTAATCAATCACAAAGGATCATAGATTAAACTGATGTCTGTATGTGTTACTACTCAGATTGAATCCCACTATAGCTTTTCGGCTTTGAAAAATAATTATTCGAAACGCGGCAGCTTGCATCCGGACTACACATCGTTTATGGCTTATGGACTTCAAGATTATTTGGATCCTCCTGGAACTGTATGAGTCCACTCCATGATGAATGCATGACAAGTTGGACTATGAAATCATTATACAACAGGAGTGAGACACATTGAAATTTTTGGGACTTCTCTGGACCATTGTGACTTTATTTTTCTGTATTAGTGTTGTTCCTTGTAAAAATACCTAGGTTTCATCCAGTTACATTGATAGTGAACTCGGCATTAAATATTATTTTTATATATATACTAGGAAAAAGGCCCGTTGTGGACACTCAGTGTCAATTTGCTGTGGCGACCTCAGCAGGGTATAATGACACTGAGCCCACCATTTTCTCCAGAGGAACTGATCTCAGCTACCTAAAGAACAGTTGTAATTTTGAGTGATCTCCAGCCCTCACCTGGAGATTGGCAATGATGGTTCCCCAGAAGGAAATAGTTGGTTTGGAGGGTGGAGTCTATGGCTTTATACCTGTCCGAGGTCCCATGCCTCCTGAAACCTCGCATCCACTCCAAACTCCATCCCTCACATCTCTAGGAATTTCCCACCTGGAGTTGGCAACCCTATCTCTTTCCCAGCCAATCATCAACCTACCTTTATTTCCCCCTCACTCTTAGTCCTGGTGGCTGAGGGGAACCTCCACATTTAGAGGCAGGCAAGCTCTGAAACTCAGAGCCAGGAAACAATATTGGGGGAGGCCTTGGCCTCTGCCCAGTGATTGGACCTCCAGAGGAACTGGCTGGCCACTGTGTGAGACAGGATGCTGGACTAGAGGAACCATCGGTCCAATCCAGCAGGATCTTCTGATGTTCTTCTGAAGGCCTCGGCCTCTATGCCCTGTTGTTGGCCCTCCAGAGGAACTGGTTAGCCAGTGTGTGAGATGGGATGCTGGACTAGATGGACTCTCACTGGTCTGATCCAGCAGGGCTCTTCTGAGGTTCTTATGAAGGCCTTGGCCTCTGTGCCTTGTTGTTGGCCCTCCAGAGGAACTGGTTGGCCAGTGTGTGAGATGGGATGCTGGACTTGATGGACCCTCACTGGTCTGATCCGGCAGGGCTCTTCTGATGTTCTTAAGAAGGCCTTGGGTCATGTAACTTGTTAGTATTGGAAATATGAAGGTTGTTATGTTTTGTCAATGTATGAATTTTTCTAATAAAAGTTATTTAAAAAAGAAGAAGGCCTTGGCCTCTGTGCCCTGTTGTTGGCCCTCCAGAGGAACTGTTTGGCCCCTGTGTGAGACAGGATGCTGGATTAGATGGACCCTCACTGGTCTGATCCAGCAGGGCTCTTCTGGTGTTCTTATGAAGGCCTCTGCCTCTCTGCCCTGTTGCTGGCCCTCCAGAGGAACTGGTTGGCCGTTGTGTGAGATGGGATGCTGGACTAGATGGGCCACTGGTCTGATCCAGCAGGGCCCTTCTGATGTTCTTATGAAGGCCTTGGTCTTTAAGTCCTGTTGTTGGACCTCCAGAGGAGCTGGTTGTCACTGTGTGGGACAGGATGCTGGACTAGATGGACCCTCCCTGGTCTGATCCAGCAGGGCTCTTCTGATGTTCTTATGAAGGCCTCGGACTCTGTGTCCTGCTGTTGGCCCTCCAGAGGAACTGGTTGGCCACTGTGTGAGACAGGATGCTGGACTGGATGGACCTTCACTGGCCTGATCCAGCAGGGGACTTCTTATGATCTCTCTAACCAGCATTCAGTTGGAAGCATATGAGAAGGTCACAAGTAGGGTGGGAAGAAAACATTTTCCCCTAATGGTGGACCTCCAAAGAAACGGTTTTTGAATGTTTAGGTATCATGAACCTAACTTTTCCCAAAACCTAACCGTGAAGTCCAATGAGTGAACTCAAAACAGGCAGTGTCAGAACATTCTTCGCTTTCTTCCCTGCTTAGGTCCACTACAATCGCGGTCTCTCGCTCTCCAAGGAGGCCGCCAAGATCCAAGGATCCAGATTCCCAGAGTTGGAGGCTTTTGAGTCCGCCAAGGGGGCTTTCCAGGCCAAGCTGACCACGTTCTACATGGAAATGGAGATGAGAGGGGCAGAGCTGGAGACTCTCCTGGATCTCTACAAGTTCCGTGACAAGGTAAATGTTGAGGAGGCCACTGCCCATCGAATCTGTACAGTACCTGGCTGTACAGTGTAGTGGTTATTATAGCATCAGACTAGGACATGGGAGACCCAGGTTTGAATCCCCACACTGCCCTGGAAGCTTGCCGGGTGACCATGGGCCAGTCATACACTCGGCCTGGCCTACCTTACAGGGCTGTTGTGAGGATAAAGTGGAGAATGATTGTAAGTGGCTTTGGGGAGCAAAGTGGGGTATGAATAAAGTACATAAAGCAGATGCATGATTCCAGGAGAGAGTGGAGGCTCCTCTTGAGAAAACACCAAATACGTCCTCGGAGGAGGCAATTTCCCCAACACTACTGAAGTAATTCGAGCTGCGGTGGCTCAAGTGGTTAAGACGCTGAACTGCAGGCTGTGGAAGGTCAGTAGTTCAGCAGTTCGAGACCTCAGTGTGCCGCATGACGGAGTGAGCTCCCGTCTCTAGTTCCAGCTCCTGCCACCCTAGCAGTTCGAAAGCAAGGGATTGCAAGTAGATAAATAGGTACCGCTTCGGTGGGGAGGGAACAGCATTCCGTGCGCCTTGGTGTTTAGTCATGCTGGCCACATGACCACGGAAACGTCTTCGGACAGCGCTGGCTCTTCGGCTTTGAAACGGAGATGAGCACCGCAACCCTAGAGTCGGACTCGACTGGCTTTCGAGCAAGGGAACCTTTACCTTTACTTTACTGAAGTAATTAGATGTCTACTTAAGAAGCCTTCTGTGGAAGGATCTGGCCCATTTTAGCCTTTTTTCCAGTCTGCCTTTTCTTGGTAACGTGGCAGAACGCCAAACATACTTGGGTGGCACATATGCCCCTTGACCGTTTCTATCTAGCTTCAGGCCTTGTTTTGAGGTGGAGACAAGCTCTGGTAGTTCTGGTGGACAATGTCCATTTGCCAAAGGATAAAAGTAACATGTCCAGTTTGGTGTAGTGGTTAGGAGCGCGGACTCTAATCTGGGAGAACCGGATTTGATTCCCCACTCCTCCTCCACATGCAGCTGCTGGTGTGACCTTGGGTCAGTCACAAGTTCTCTCAGAGCTGTTTTCTCATGAGCAGTTTGTGTCAGAGTTCTCTCAGCCCCACCTACCTTGCAGGGTGTCTCTTGTGGGGAGGGAAATGAGATTGTAAACTGCTCTGAGACTTCTGTTCTGTTGGGGAGGTTGGAGAAATGATTTGGAATCAAAGAAACAACACTCAGGTGGCTTTGGTCTTTTCTGTCCAATCAAAAACCAGGAGTTTGTGTCAGGGATGCTAAGTAATATGGGACTTACCTAGTAGGATACTGCAGGGTTCTGTACTTTCTCCTCCACTCTTCACATTTTAATATTGGGCTGCTAAATGAAATAATCTGTCACCTTGGGGGTTGGGCTGTCTTGATTTGCTGAAGATATCCAGCGCTGTATTGTTGTGACCGAGCCTCCAGATGCGGCTGTCTCTGTCCCGCAGCAGTATTTGGATGCTGTCTTGATTTGCTGAAGATATCCAGCGCTGTATTGTTGTGACCGAGCCTCCAGATGCGGCTGTCTCTGTCCTGCACCAGTATTTGGATGCTGTGGTTAAGTGGTGGATCCTGAACCCCAGTCAGAGAGGGGTGATGCTGGGTGGGAGTTTATTTATTTAAAACATTCATTAGCCACCTTTCTTCAATTATAGAGCTCGAAGTGGTTTACAACATAGATAAAACACACATAAAATACAGAAAAATACATAAAACCAAAATTTAAAATCACAATTTTGGACCTCTTTAATCAAATGCAGTCCCAAGTAAAACCGTCTTCAGCTGCCTCCTAAAGACTGAAAAGTGAGGAGGCCGGGCCCACCTCCCTGCATAGGTTGTTCCATAATCGTGGGGCCGCCACCCAAAAGACCCTGTCTTCAGGGGTCATTTCATAGAAAAACAGGTGCAGAAGCTCATTAGCATAACTTATTTGCATAGGCCACCCCCCCTGACATCACCGGAAGTGTGTCAGAAGGCAACACCCACCGTTCAGGCTCCACTGGACTGTTTTGGATTGCTAGCTATTGGGGGGGGGAACGTGCAGATCTGTCCTCGCAGAGGAGGGAGAGCTTGTACCTGAATAAGACTTGGTCTTAAAGGTGCCACTGGACTGTTTTGGACCAGGGGGCCGTGGGGAGCTCTGCAACTTACCTGGCTGCTTCTTGCTCTGACTGAGGGCTGCTGGGAGCAGGGGGTGAGGCTTGTTGCATGTGCCCGCCCCCTGGGCTCTTTACTGCCGGAGCTCCGCTCCTGCGCACTCCTGCAGGAAAGGACCCCTGCCTGTCTTTGTGTATCCGCCCAATGAGCTTCTTTGGTTGATGGGACAGTCAGGAAGGCCTGTCATAAGAACATAAGAACAGAAGAGACGCCAGTGTTGGATCAGGCCAAAGGCCCATCCAGTCCAACACTCTGTGTCACACAGTGGCCAGAAATACCAGTGCCATCAGGAGGTCCAGCAGTGGGGCCAGGACATTAGAAGCCCTCCCACTGTTGACCCCCCCCAAGCACCAAGAAGACAGAGCATCACTTGCCCCAGAGCCCCTAGCTATACCTTGTGGCTAATAGCCACTGATGGACCTCTGCTCCATATGCTTATCTAATTCCCTTTTGAAGCCGTCCATGCTTGTAGCACCCACCACTTCCTGTGGCAGTGAATTCCAAGTGTTAATCACTCTTTGGGTGAAGAAGGACGTCCTGCAGTTTCATGGAGTGCCCACGAGTTCTTGTATTGTGAGAAAGGGAGAAAAGTACCTCTTTCTTTACCTGCTCTTTCCCATGCATAATCTTATAAACCTCGATCATGTCACCCCTCAGTCGTCTTTTCTCCAAGCTAAAGAGCCCTAAGCGCTTTAACCTTTCCTCATAGGGAAAGTGTTCCAACCCTTTTATCATTCGAGTTGCCCTTTTCTGCACTTTTTCCAAAGCTATAATATCCTTTTTAAGGTGTGGTGCCCAGAACTGCACACAGTATTCCAAATGAGGTCTCACCATTGATTTATATAGGGGCATCATTATATTGGCTGATCTGTTTTCAATACCCTTCCTAATAATCCCCAGCATAGCATTGGCCTTCTTTATTGCAGTCACACACTGTCTCGACATTTTCAGTGAGTTATCCACTACAACTCCAAGATCTCTCTCTTGCTCAGTCTCATCAATGTGTATTTATATTTAGGATTTTTGGCTCCAATGTGCATCACCTTGCACTTGGCCACATTGAACCCCATTTGCCATGTTGACGCCCACTCGCCCATCCTTGACAGATCCCCTTGGAGTGCCTCACAATCCTCACTGGTTTTCACCACCCTGAACAACTTTGTATCATCCGCAAATTTAGCCACTTCACTGCTTACTCCCATCTCCAAATCATTAATGAACAAGTTAAAAAGCAGTGGACCAAGTACTGATCCCTGCGGTACCCCACTGCTTACCACCCTCCACTGAGAAAATTGCCCACCTACACTCACTCTCTGTTTTCTATGAACTAGCCAGTTTTTGATCCATAAAAGGACTTGTCCTTCTATCCCATGATTTTTGAGCTTACTTAGGAGCCTTTGATGAGGAACTTTATCAAAAGCTTTCTGGAAGTCAAGGTAAATAATATCTATTGGATCCCCCTTGTCCACATGTTTGTTCACCCCCTCAAAGAACACTAACAGGTTAGTGAGACAAGATCTTCCCTTACAGAAACCGTGCTGAGTCTGCCTCAATAGGTTTTGTTCATCTATGTGCCTACTAATTCTTTCCTTAATAATGGTTTCCACCAATTTACCCGGTATCGACGTCAGACTGACTGGCCTGTAATTTCCCGGATCTCCTCTGGAACCCTTTTTAAAGATGGGAGTGACATTAGCTACCTTCCAATCCTCAGGAATGGAGGCAGATTTTAAGGAAAGATTACATATCTTTGTCAGGAGATCTACAAGTTCACATTTGAGTTCTTTCAGAACTCTCGGATGTATGCCATCTGGGCCTGGTGATTTTTCAGTTTTTAAGTTGTCTATCAGTTTTAGGACCTCCTCTCTCATCACCTCAATCTGACTCAGGTCTTCCAACACCCCTCCTGAAATCAGTGGTTCTGGAGTGGGCAAGCACTTCTCATCTTCCACAGTGAAGACGGAGGCAAAAAATGCATTTAGCTTCTCAGCCATTTCCCTATCATCCTTCAATACTCCTTTTACCCCTTGGTCGTCCAAGGGCCCCACTGCCTCCCTGGCTGGTTTCCTGTTTCTAATGTATTTGAAGAAAGTTTTATTGTTGGTTTTTACGTTTTTTGCTATATGCTCCTCATATTCCCTTTTTGCCTGCCTGACCTCAGACTTGCATTTTATTTGCCATAGCCTGTGTTCCGTTTTATCAGCCTCACTGTGACTAGCTTTCCACTGCTTAAAGGAATTCTTTTTACTTTTTACAGCCTCCATTACTCTGTTTGTTAACCATGCAGGCTTTTTCCTATACCTGTTTGTGCCTTTCCTAACCTGCGGAATATATATTTTTTGAGCTTCTAGGATCGTAGTTTTAAATAGATCCCAAGCTTCCCCAATTGTTTTGACCCTTTCTACTTTTCCTTTCAGTTTCCTCCCCACGTGTCCCCTCATATCAGAGAAATTACCCCTTTTAAAGTTAAAAATGGTTGTGTGAGTCTTTTTGGCCAATTCTCTATTTGTACAAATGATGAACTCAACAACATTATGATCACTGTTTCCAAGCGGTGCAATCACTTTTACATCTCTCACCAGGTCTTGAGTGTTACTTAGGACCAAATCAAGGATCGCCTCTCCCCTGGTAGGTTCCGTGACCATCTGCTCCATAGCACAGTCATTTAGAGTGTCTAGAAACTCAATCTCTTTTTCCCGACTAGAACACATATTGACCCAATCAATGTGTGGGTAGTTAAAATCACCTATTATTACACAGTGTTTTTGTCTAGTTGCTATCTTTAAGGCATTCATCATTTTATAATCCTCCTCTATCTTTTGATCTGGTGGGCGATAACAAACTCCCAGTGTTAAGTTTCCTTTTGGCCCCCCTATTTCAACCCATAGAACTTCCAGAAGCGAATCCAATTCACTTAGCCTCTCAATCTTTCTAGACTTTATACCCTCTCTGACATACAGAGCTACCCCACCTCCAACCCTTCCCCCCCTATCCTTCCGATATAATATATAACCGGGAATCACTGTGTCCCACTGATTTTCCTCATCCCACCAAGTTTCAGAAATACCCACAATGTCTATTTTTCCCTCCGACACCAAGCACTCCAACTCCCCGATTTTACCTCGGACACTTCTAGCATTTGTATAGAAACAGCTGTAATTTCCCTTACAAGTTAAGCCTGCATCCTTCCTCTTGCTATCTCGAGTCGTTGTCCGGCAGTCCATGTCACCAGCCATGGCCTCTGTGGACAATTTCAATCCACCTCCCTGTAGAAAAGCAACCGGTACCCCCTCACCTCTCTCAGATGAGCCAACCCGAACCAGAGACTTTTCATCTCCTGTCGGCTTTCCCCCAATATTCAGTTTAAAAGCTGCTCTGCCACCTTTTTGATTTTAAGTGCCAGCAGCCTGGTTCCTTCTCGGGACAAGTGGAGACCGTCTCGCCTGTACAGCTCCCTCTTGTTCCAAAAAGTATCCCAGTGCCTAACAAACCTGAACCCTTCCCCCCTACACCATCGTCTCATCCACGCATTGAGACTCCTGATCTCTGCCTGTCTCTCCGGCCCTGCGCGTGGAACAGGTAACACTTCTGAGAAGGCTACCTTGGAGGTCCTGGACCTAAGTTTCCTGCCCCTTTGGGGTTGACTGGGGTTTGTCCCTTGATGACCAGGTGAAGAGCTTGGTTGGGAGGGTGGGTGGGCTGCCTGGAAAGCCACACCTGGAGGATCTGGCGAGACACCGCGGGTTAGAGCAGAGGTAGCCGAACTGGCTTAACTAAGAGCTACAGAGAAAAATGTCAGATGTCTGAGAGCCACAAGACATGAACAAATATTAGTAAAGGTAAAGGTTTCCCTTGCTCGAAAGCCAGTCGAGTCCGACTCTAGGGTTGCTGTGCTCATCTCCGTTTCAAAGCCGAAGAGCCAGCGCCGTCCGAAGACGTTTCCGTGGTCATGTGGCCGGCATGACTAAACACCAAGGCGCACGGAACGCTGTTACCTTCCCACCGAAGTGGTACCTATTTATCTACTTGCAATTTCTTGCTTTCGAACTGCTATGTTGGCAGGAGCTGGAACTAGAGACGGGCGCTCACTCTGTCATGCGGCAACCCGGGTCTCGAACTGCTGGACTACTGACCTTCCACAGCCTGCAGAACAATTATTACGGACACGTTTTTATTGAAAAAATATGCAGATTTGCTCTTTATGAACATTAAACGAGACTTCCAAAAATAAAGACCAAAGGGGTAAAAACAGATATTGGTAATGATAACTGTTTGTCCAATGATATTTATTTGTTTGCTAATGATATTTATTTGTGTGTTTGTGTGTGAGAGAGAGAGAGAGAGAGAGAGCGCAAATAGATGGGGGGAGGCAGGGAGAGGTGGAAAGAAAGTAACTGCCCCCGCATCAACCGGTTTGGCTTGGAGAAGGGATTTAAAGAGACAAATGCCTTCTCCAAGCCAGCCAGTGGGGAGGGGCTTTGAGAACGCATTTCAAGTTAAAGTTGCTTTCTTTCTCTGCTCCAGCCTACCCAGGGAGGGGAACACTGGTTGGGGAAGGGAAGACCGATCGGGGAGGAATGCCTCCCCTTCGCTTCCCCAGCTGCCCTGCCGGGAGCCGCACGATATGTGTGAAAGAGTCCCAAGCCACACTTTGGCCACGGCTGGGTTAGAGTAACCAGGGCTGTCTGCAGAAGGCAGCCGTAGGTGGTGGGAAAGGGCGAAGCGGGTACCCCTCGTGAGAGGAAGTAAGGATTGCAGCTCTTGTCTCCTAAAGGTCATGCGGTTTTCTCTCGACTGCAAGCGACACCTGGCCCAGTGGAGTGCCCGAGAGGAGGAGCCCTGCAGCACGGAGGCCCTGCGTGAATGGGAGAGCTCTCTCCAGCCGCCCGCTGAGTTCTCCCCCGAGCAATTCCAGCACATGAAGGTCCAGGCGTCCAGCATACGGAGCGGGAAGGGCCTCGAGGTGTGGGGCGAAGCGTTTGAGAAATGCGAAGAGGCCAGGCAGATCCTGCAAGGCGTGCTGGCCCGACGCAAGGAGCACCGAGAGGGGGGAGCCGGGGTCTGCGGAGAGAAGGGGGACCCTCTTAGCACGGATCCCAACGCCCCAGGGGAGGATCCCTACTTTGATGGTGCGCTGGGGAGTACCAGGAACCAGGAGTGTCTGTTGGAACGCAACCAAAAGGATCTGGAGACGGACAGAACTGGCTCTCGAGAGAATCCTTCCTGTGGAGCCGTCACAAAAGAGCCGGGAAGGGAGGGGTCTTATCTTGCTTCCCTGCAGGCTGTTCCTCAAAGCGGAGCCCCCGAGGGCCAGAACCCCGGTGAAGAGTCCCCGGAAAGTCTCCCCACGCCTTCGCCTTTAATGCCTCCCGCCCGCCCCTCCTGTCCGAAGGCTAGCCACGCGCCAGAGACCTGTGAGGACCTGCCATCCGCCGACTGGACGTGCGTGACTGTCCCGCGGAGAGGCCAACGCAGCCGGAGGAACGAAGCCGCCCAGTACTTCCAGCTCTCCCGACACGGGAGCTTTTCCTCAGAAGATACCGATTCCCAGAACTCCACTGAAGAGTCTCTGGGCTCCAGTGCGACATTACCAATGGACTCCGCAGGCCCCAAAGGCGCATCACCTCAGGGAAAGGCTCTGGGGATCCTGTACTTGGAGAACCACAGCGCGACCAGTCTGAACAGAGTGGCTTCCCAATAAGTTCGACGAACCCAGGAGCTGAGGATCCTCGACTCCTTCGCACGGCCTTCCCAGTGACTTCTTCGTGACGGGCTACATTCCCAGAGGCTGCAGAAAGGCGGTCTCATTCCCATCTCAAATTATTCATCTTCACCAGCAGTCTGGCTTCCAAGCCGGTAAGAACACCGGAGGCAGCTTTCACACGGAGCATTTCCCCCATTTCAGACACCCAACTTGTGCGTTTTGGGTTTTTTCCTGCTTCCACATGACGTCATCCTGCCTTCATGCTCCAACTATGGACAGCTTGTCTCTCTCCCTCCCCAAATGCTTTTTTTCTAAAACCTGGAGAAATATGTATTTTTCCCTGCATGGTGCTACTAGGGTGTACTTTTCACTGTTTCTGGAACGGAAGGTACACTTTGGGGTTCAGCGAAAAGACACCTTTCCTCTCCTCTTCCTCCACCTACCCATTAAGGCTTTTTTTTTTTGGGGGGGGGTTCTTACCTTTTTTAATCTCTCTCAGTTTCACTGATGAGTCCCAACTTCAGGAGAAAAGGGGGGGCAGCTGTATTTAGGCTTTTCCAAATATGCTGTTTTCGTCTTTCAAAAAATAATAAGCAATACAGAACAGCACAGTTGCACTATGACTGTTACATTTTGTGGACTGAGGTGATGAGAGAGGAGGTCCTAAAACTGATAGACATCGTTAAAACTGATAAATCACCAGGCCCAGATGGCATACATCCGAGAGTTCTGAAGTAACTCAAATGTGAATTTGTGGATCTCCTGACAAAAATATGTAATCTTTCCTTAAAATCAGCCTCCATTCCTGAGGACTGGAAGGTAGCAAATGTCACTCCTATCTTTAAAAAGGGTTCCAGAGGAGATCCTGGAAATTACAGGCCAGTCAGTCTGACGTCCATATCGGGTAAATTGGTGGAAACCATTATTAAGGAAAGAATTAGTAGGCACATAGATGAACAAAACCTATTGAGGCAGACTCAGCATGGGTTCTGTGAGGGAAGATCTTGTCTCACTAACCTGTTAATGTTCTTTGAGGGGGTGAACAAACATGTGGACAAGGGGGATCCAATAGATATTGTTTACCTTGACTTCCAGAAAGCTTTTGATAAATTTCCTCATCAAAGGCTCCTAAGTAAGCTCAAAAATCATGGGATAAAAGGACAAGGACAAAAACTGGCTAATTAATAGAAAACAGAGAGTGAGTATAAATGGGCAATTTTCTCAGTGGAGGGTGGTAAGCAATGGGGTACCGCAGGGATCAGTACTTGGTCCACTGCTTTTTAACTTGTTCATTAATGATTTGGAGTTGGGAGTAAGCAGTGAAGTGGCTAAATTTGCGGATGATACGAAGTTGTTCAGGGTGGTGAAAACCAGTGAGGATTGTGAGGCACTCCAAAGGGATCTGTCAAAGATGGGCAAGTGGGCGTCAACATGGCAAATGGGGTTCAATGTGGCCAAGTGCAAGGTGATGCACATTGGAGCCAAAAATCCTAAATATAAATACACATTGATGGGGTCTGAACTGGCAGAGACAGATCAAGAGAGAGATCTTGGAGTTGTAGTAGATAACTCACTGAAAATGTCAAGACAGTGTGTGACTGCAATAAAGAAGGCCAATGCTATGCTGGGGATTATTAGGAAGGGTATTGAAAACAGATCAGCCAATATCATAATGCCCCTATATAAATCAATGGTGCGACCTCATTTGGAATACTGTGTGCAGTTCTGGTCACCACACCTTAAAAAGGATATTATAGCTTTGGAAAAAGTGCAGAAAAGGGCAACTCAAATGATAAAAGGGTTGGAACACTTTCCCTATGAGGAAAGGTTAAAACGCTTGGAGAAACGACAGCTGAGGGGTGACATGATCGAGGTGTACAAGATTATGCATGGGATAGAGCAGGTAGAAAAAGAGGTACTTTTCTCCCTTTCTCACAATACAAGAACTCGTGGGCACTCCATGAAATTGCTGAGTGGTCAGGTTAGAACGGAAAAAAGGAACTTGTACTTCTTCACCCAAAGAGTGATTAACACATGGAATTCACTGCCACAGGAGGTGGTGGCAGCTACAAGCATGGACGGCTTCAAAAGGGAATTAGATAAGCATATGGAGCAGAGGTCCATCAGTGGCTCTTAGCCACAAGGTATAGATAGGGGCTCTGGGGCAAGTGATGCTCTGTCTTCTTGGTGCTTGGGGGGGGGGGTCAACAGTGAGAGGGCTTCCGGTGTCCTGGCCCCACTGCTGGACCTCCTGAGGGCACCTGGTATTTCTGGCCACTGTGTGATACAGAGTGTTGGACTGGATGGGCCACTGACCTGATCCAACACTGGCGTCTGTTATGTTATTAATATATGACATACAAGAAATACAATAGATAGGCCAGAGATCTGAAAGCCATATCTAACATTTACTCTTTGAAACGCCCATAAGAAAATTTCGCAATTTCAATGGGCTGAAAGACATGATTTTCAAATGTCCCTAAAGCAAAGCAAAGACATCCACTTCTTATAGACTTAAGGTAAACAATATAAAGTACGTTGCAATCAGCAAGTAGATTAGGACTTGAGATTAGGACTTGAGACAGACAATAAGAAATAGGCTGCAGTCAACTCATCCTCTAGATTATTCAATGAGGTTTCGATCCCTTCATCAGGACTGCAGACGGGGACTTCCAAAGAGGCACAGCCACAGGAACCTCTCAGCCAATAATGCTTCCAAATTGTCCAAACAACGGAGAGCCAGTTCAGTGTGGTGGTGAAGTGCACGGACTCTAATCTGGGAGAGCTGGGGTTGATTCCCCACTCCTCCACATGCAGCTGCTTGCATGACCTTGGGCAAGCCGTAGTTCTGATAAAAGCTGTTCTTGAAAAAAGAGCCGTTTCTGTCAAGAGCTCTCTCAGCCCCACCGACCTCACAGGGTGTCTGTTGTGGGGAGGGGGAGGGAAAGGAGTTTGTAAGCCACTCTGAGACACCTTCGGGTAGTGAAGGGCGGGGTATAAATTGAATCTCTTCTTCTTCTTCTTACTGTACAGTAGTGTCTCAAAACTGCCTTGTTTTCATTTATTCATGATGGATACATATGGCCAGACTCTGTAGGTGCTCTTCCATCTAAATGAATGTAAAGACAGCTCTTTATATTGTTTACCTTAAGTCTTAAGAAGTGGATGTCTTTGCTTTGCTTTATGGACATTTGAAAATCATGTCTCTCAGCCCATTTAAACGGTGAAATTTTCTTTTGGGAGTTTCAAAGAGTAAATGTTAGATATGGCTTTCAGAACTCTGGCCTATCTATTGTATTTCTTGTATGTCATGTATTAAAAACATAAGAGATGCCAATGTTGGATCAGGCCAAAGGCCCCTCCAGTCCAACACTCTGTGTCACACAGTGGCCAGAAATACCAGGTGCCATCAGGAGGTCCAGCAGTGGGGCCAGGACACTAGAAGCCCTCCCACTGTTGCCCCCCCCCAAGCACCAAGAATACAGAGCATCCCTTGCCCCAGACTGAGAGTTCCTGTCTATACCTTGTGGCTAATAGCCATTGTTGGATCTCTGCTCCATATCTTTATCCAATTCCCTCTTATAAGAACATAAGAGAAGCCAATGTTGGATCAGGCCAATGGCCCATCCAGTCCAACACTCTGTCACAGAGTGGCCAAAAATACCAGGTGCCCTCAGGAGGTCCAGCAGTGGGGCCAGGACATCAGAAGCCCTCCCACTGTTGCCCCTCCCCAAGCACCAAGAAGACAAAACATCACTTGCCCCAGACATAAGAACATAAGAGAAGCCAATGTTGTATCAGGCCAATGGCCCATCTAGACCAACACTCTTGTGTCACACAGTGGCCAAAAATACCAGGTGCCTTCAGGAGGTCCAGCAGTGGGGCCAGGACACTAGAAGCCCCTCCCACTGTTGCCCCCCCCCAGCACCAAGAAGACAGAGCATCACTTGCCCCAGAGTTCCTATCTATACCTTGTGGCTAAGAGCCACTGATGGACCTCTGCTCCATATGCTTATCCAATTCCCTTTTGAAGCCGTCCATGCTTGTATTGAATACTGTTGAATGTTTAAGACGTATTTGGAGCCTTATGTGATGTGAAGTCATATGTGATTCATATTGACTCATCTATTTCCTGAAATGATTGTTAGACAGTCTCTTGCCCGGCCCTGAACCGTGGCGCTCTGTTTGGGAGAGGGGAACCGATTCACTTGGGGTTACGGTTGGGGGGGGGGAGAATTTGCTGCTGCAACAGGCGAGGGGGGTGGTGGAAGGCTTCAGGGTAGGTGCTGTGGCTGAGCCAGCACTGTGTAAATACGCTGAAGGGTTTGTTTGTTTTTTAAACTTGTTGTGTTGTGCAGTTCCTCTTCAGCACAACTCATGCCCTCAACATTATTTTTAAAAATGGGGACTCATGACAGAGGAGAGGCAGCAACGGAAGGAGGGGGTGATGGGAGCACGTGCCTGATGTGAAAGGGAGAAAGCAGCCATTTTGGTGTAGTGGTTAGGAGTGCGGACTCTAATCTGGGAGAACCAGGTTTGATTCCCCACTTCTCCACATGCAGCGGCTGGTGTGACCTTGGGCCAGTCACAAGTCCTTTCATAAGTATGTTGGATCAGGCCAATGGCCCCTCCAACACTCTGTCACAGAGTAGCCAAAAACACCAAGTGCCCTCAGGAGGTCCAGCAGTGGGGCCAGGACACTAGAAGCCCTCCCACTGTTTCTCCCCCCCCCCCAAGCACCAAGAAGACAGAGCATCCCTTGCCCCAGACAGTTCCCTCTAGACCTTGTGGCTAATAGCCACGGATGGACCTCTGCTCCAGAAGTTTCTCCAATCCCCTCGAGGTTGTCCGTGCTTGTATTCCCCACCACCTCCTGTGGCAGTGAATTCCATGCATTAATTACTCTTCCGGTGAAGAAGTGCTTCCTTTGGTCTGTTCTAAGCCTACTGCTTATCAATTTCATTGAGTACCCACGAGTTCTTGTATTGTGACAAAGGGAGAAAAGTACTTATTCTCTGTACAGAGAGTTCTCTTTGTCAGTCCCAGTCCAGCTAAAGCTAGTCTTTACCAGAAAGCTTAATCAGGATAGTGTGTGTGACATGATTACTCATTGCTGGATTGGGGCCACCGTGTCCTTAAAATGTTCCAAAAACTTGCAGGGATGCTCTCCGTGTGGTGTGATCCAGTATGGGGCAGTGGTTGGAGCTCTGAATTGGGAAATGGGGAACCCACACTAGGGACTTCGGGCATGATAGCCTGTCAGCCTCATCTTTATTGCACACACAGATGTTAGGAGGACAGACCAGAAGAACCCCTTGCGTGCTACCCTGAGTTTCTTGGAGAATGTGACGAAACTCAGGAAACCCTTTCAGTGTTTGAAGAAGGGGTCATTTCCTGCGGGAGCTCACAGAAGCGGAGCTCCGGCAGTAAGGAGCCCA